TCAAAGAGGAGTGCATTTGTTACCTTGGTTAATAAAACGTGAAAAACGCGACCTATAAGTTCAGAGGACGGATTGAGCTGATAAAGTAAGTGATAACTTTCTAAGTCAAAGACAATACACCTTTGGTCCCACAATTGTATAATTCACACTGAACTACTCTTCATCAAAAACTCTAAATCTAAATGAAAAATACATATACACACATACGCACACACACACAAAAAAGGGAGAATTTCTTTGGCCCTGATGCCACTGTTCACCTAGCAGTAAATAGGTAGCTGAGAGTTAGACAGCTGCTACCTGGTAATTTGCTTCCTGGGATTGCATGTGTTTATTAAAAAGTTAAATGTATGAAATAGACAATAGACGAAAAATAAATTGGTTAAAAACGCAGGGTCCAAGAATTATTGGCTCAATTCTGCAGGCACAAATAGTAAATACACCCACACACGCACACACATACACCACATATGTCAGACCAATCCTGGAGTATGCACCTCCAGCCTGGAGTCCATATCTGGTCAAGCATACGACTAAACTGTAAAAGGTTCAAAGGTTTGCCACCAGACTAGTACCTGAACTGAGAGGTATGAGCTACGAGGAAAGACTACGGGAATTTAACCTCACGTCGCTGGAAGATAGAAGAGTTGGGGAGACATGATCACCACATTCAAGATTCTCAAAAGAATTGATAAGGTAGATAAAGACAGGCTATTTAATCAAGGGGCACACGCACTAGGGGACACAGGTAGAAACTGAGTGCCCAAATGAGCCACAGAGATATTAGAAAGAACTTTTTTATTGTCAGAGTAGTTGACAAATGGAATGCATTAGGCAGTGATGTGGTGGAGGCTGACTCCATACACATTTTCAAGTGTAGATATGATAGAGCCCAATAGGCTCAGGAATCTGTACGTCAGTTGATTGACAGTTGAGAGGCAGGACCAAAGAGCCAGAGCTCAACCCCCGCAAGCATAACTAGGTGAGTACAACTAGGTGAGCACACACACACACACACATACAGGGGGGGGGGGAGGCTGAAAAAGTGTTTTACACAAACAAAGCCTGTTAAAGAAGACTAGAGGTTAGAGAGGCTGGGACTACAGTAAGATGAGAGCCGTAACGCTGCGCGGGTTAGTGGCAACACTTGCACAAGTACCAGTCTTATGTAATATTACATGCCTATTGTACCTTCTTGTACATAAATATTATTATTATTATAGTATTATTATTATTATTATTATTATTATTATTATTATTATTATTATTATTATTATTATTATTATTATTATTATAATCATTATTATTATTATAAAAGAGATATTGAAGGAAGACAGCGAATGAAATGATGAAATTCATCGCTGGGAAATGTGGTGATGTGAGGGAGCTGTCTATACCTTCCAAGACGGGGGATAAGACAAGACAAGTACACACGTGGATCATTAGACAATGCAGGAAACTAAAAACAAAACAAAAAAGTGTGGACAAATGAACCGAGAACGTAGAACGGAGTAGACCAAGGTCAAGAGAGAAGCTAAGAAGCAATTTGAAGATGAACCTCGCTTCAAAAGCTAAGGACCAACCAAAGTTGTTGTATAGCATATAATAAGAACAACAGTGCAAGACCGTGTGCTCCACTTGTGGAGACAAGGAGGACTTCTCATAGAAAATTTTAATGTGGTAATTGTAGAGCTCAAGAAAAGCTTTCAAGAGATGTTTACAGTAGAACGAGCATGGAGACAACGATTGTGAGATGAAACGCTGGAAGAAACAATGGATGACATCGTAGTAGCTGTGAGGAGGGAGGTAAGAAGACACCTGGAAGGACAATATGGGACAACATCTGTGGAGCCAGACCAACTCTCACTATGGTTCCTGAAGGACACTGTAGAAGTACTCTGCCACCTGTTATCTAACATTTTTAATAACACCCTTAAGACAGGAAGTCTCCCAGAAGTTTTGGAAAAACAGAAACGTGGTCCCAATATTCAAAAAGGGTTAAAAAGGAGGAACTATATGACACTCTGTTGTCATTGACAAGTATTCAGGGCAAAGTGTTGAAGAAAGTAATCAGGCTGAGAATGATGGAGCCTTTGGAGAGGACCGGTTATTTGACAAAAGGTCAGCATGGATTTAGAACAGAAAAGTTGTTCATGACAATCTTGATTGAGTTCATGACTCACTTACTAAAATATGACAGGAAAAAAAGAAGACTGTGTAGACTGTATTTTCCTAAATTGGCAAAAATAATTTCACACTGCTCCTCAAGAAAGACTGGTGTACAAGATGGAAACGCCGGCTGTGATAGCTGAGAAAATACTGAACTGGGTAAAGGAGTACCTGAAGGACAGGCAGCAAAGAGTTAGTGTGAGAGCACGTTTCAAGCTGGAGGAATGTAACAAGTGGGGTCCCACGAGGCTCGGTTCTGGGACCACTGCTGTTCCTAATTTATGTGAACGACCGACCTGAGGGAGTGAGCTCGTACATGTCAATGTTTGCAGATGATGCAAAGCTGATTAGGAAAGTGAAAACGGTAGAGGACTGCAGGAAGTTACTGGAGGCCCTTAACAAACTCCAGGAGTGATCAAGCAAATGGTTGGTGAAATTCAGTCCCAATAAATACAAGGTACTGAGGACGGGAAAGGGAGAGAGGAAACCAGGGGGAATCTGCACCATACGGGGAAATTAGCTACAAATTATATCGGGAGTGGATTTAACTCTAACACTAGCACCAGAGGTACACATAAACATGATAACCTCGGCAGCATATGGGACATTGAAAAATATAAAAACATCGTTTACAAACAAATCAAGACTCCTTCAAGGCACTCTACACAACATTCGTTAGAACACTCGAAGAATATGCAGCACTGGCAGGGAATATTTCCCTTGTGAAGCGTAAAACAAAAAAGTAAAAAAAAGTACAAAGGTTTGCAACAAATTTGGTGCCAGAGCTAAGAGGGTTAAGCTACACGGAGAGGTTAAGGGAACTAAATCTCACAACCCAGGACTATAGAAGGAACAGAGGAGATATAATCACAACATACGTGATACTGAGAGGAACAGATAAAATGAGAAGGACTGCCTCTTCAAATTTAAATAAAGGAGAGCAAGAGGATACATGTGGAAGCTGGACACACAAATGAGCCAAAGGAAAGTAAGGAATTACTCGCACCATGCATGGATAGTCAACAAGTGAAATGAACATAAGGAAGAAGGAAGTTGTAGAAGACACCTCCATCCGCAACTTTAAGGCCAGACTCGGCGAAGAATCTGAATGTTAGAATAGTTAAATTGTGATGCAACAAGTTCAACAAAGCTGGCAGGCGGAGCATTGCGTGCTAAACCTCATTCTAAGGAGGCTTTTAGATCACTGTATTCCGCCTATGTGAGGGCTAGTCTTAGAGTATGCCACGCCGTCGTGGAGCCCTCATCTAAAAAACACACATAAGGAAGCTTGAAAAGGTGTAGAAGCTTGCAACGAGACTCAACCCAGAGCTGCGAGAGATAAGATACGAAGACAGACTAAAGGAACTAAACCTGACCACGTAAGAAAAGAGGAAGGAGAGGAGGGAACATGATACAGACGTATACAATACATAGAGGGATTAACAAGGTGGAAACAGGAAATGTTTACAATGAATATTAATAGAACAAGGGGGCACCGGAAGGAAGCTTGAGACTCAGATGTGTCATAGATATATTAGAAAGTTTTTTCTTTTAGCGTAAGGGTTGTGAGTAACTAGAATGACCTAAAGGAGTAGACTGTTGAGGCTAACTCCATTCATAACTTCAAAAGCAGGTATGATATGGAAATAGGCCAGAAATCATTGCATTAGACAACCAACGGCTAGTAAAGCGGGATCCAAGAGTTTGAGCTCAATCTTGCAGGCCCAAATAGGTAAGTACACACACACGCGCGCGCGCGCACACACACACGCACACACACGCACACACACACACACACACACACACACACACACACACACACACACACACACACACACACACACACACACACACACACACACACACACACACAACGGGGTACGGGGGCCTCGTAGCCTGGTGGATAGCGCGCAGGACTCGTAATTCTGTGGCGCGGGTTCGATTCCCGCACGAGGCAGAAACAAATGGGCAAAGTTTCTTTCACCCTAAGTGCCCCTGTTACCTAGCAGTAAATAGGTACCTGGGTGTTAGTCAGCTGTCACGGGCTGCTTCCTGGGGTGTGTGTGTGTGGTGAAAAAAAAAAAAAAAAAAAAAAAAAGTAGTTAGTAAACAGTTGATTGACAGTTGAGAGGCGGGCCGAAAGAGCAAAGCTCAACCCCCGCAAAACACAACTAGTAAACACAAGGCGTTCACACGGCGTTCAGGAACCTGTGTAAGGAATCATTCAGAATCTTGTACACCACATATGCAAGACCAATCCTGGAATATGCGGCCCCAGCATGGAGCCCGAACCTTGTCAAGCACAAGACGAGGTTGGAAAAAGTCCAAAGGTATGCTACTAGAATAGTCCCAGAACTAAGAGGCATGAGTTATGAGGAAAGGCTGCGGGAAATGCACCTTACGACACTGAAAGACAGAAGAGTAAGGGGGGACATGATCACAACCTACAAAATCCTCAGGGGAATCGACCGGGTAAACAAGGATGAACTATTCGACACTGGAGGGACGCGAACAAGGGGACACAGGTGGAAACTGAGTACCCAAATGAGCCACAGAGACACTAGAAAGAACTTTTTCAGTGTCAGAGTAGCTAGTAAATGGAATGCATTAGGAAGTGATGTGGTGGAGGCTGACTCCATACACAGTTTCAAATGTAGATATGACAGAGCCCAGTAGGCTCAGGAATCTGTAATCAATTGATTGACGTTTGAGAGGCGGGACCAAAGAGCCAGAGCTCAACCCCGCAAACACACCTAGGTGAGTAACACACACACACACACACATACACACACACACAAAACAAACACACATACACATAATTATACAAATACCATTGTAGCAGGTGTGATCCTTAGGTGGGCACAAGAGGTGGTTGAGGCGCCCAGCTGTAGCAAAGCACTGAGGAGACCGGAGCCAGCTGCACAATATATAGCAGGCACTGGTGCCAAGGTTGACTACCTGCAAGTGTGGCAGTGTCAGGCAGGGTCAGGAGCCGGCAACCTCTTAAACCAGCACACTGCTGGAAACAGCTTCATCATCACCACCACCACCACCACCACCACCACTATCACCAATAACACCACCACCACCATCACCACCACCACTATCAGCTTCATCACAAACTCCATTACCACTAACACTACCAGCAAGCACTACCACCATAACCATCATCACCACTAACAACACCACTACCACCACCCCTATCACCAACACCACTACTTTCATCACCACTAATAACATTACTATAAATAACACAATTATATACACACACACACATATATATATATATATATATATATATATATATATATATATATATATATATATATATATATATATATATATATATATATGTAAATGTTCGTGTGTTCAATATACCTAATCTCCGAAAGTTCTTCACCGATTGCGTTGAAATTTTCACACAACGTTCCTTTCGCTCCGAGCGTGTTTTTATATATATACTATATAGATGTCACGTCTGTGACGGGAAAAAACATGTTTTTTTTTTTTTTAACTGTGTTTTTCATGTGTTGTATCCATTTGTCTACACCTGACCCCATTGTTCGGTCCATTTGTATTCACCTGACCCACTTCCCACCACCGCCCACGGGATTGGTATGAGGTGCATAATTAAGAAAGAAATTGAAATGAACTTATAAGTATAGATTATCTTTTTATACAACGCCTTGATCTAGAGCGATGGCGGTACTGTCACCAGAAGTGAGAAGATGAGAGGAAATACCAGCACTGTAGAGAAGTGCCCGAGAGACCACTGGAACATTATCTAACACAGTGCACAGTTACAGCCGCAACAGACCACTGGAACATTATCTAACACAGTGCACAGTTACAGCCACAACAGACCACTGGAACTTTATCTAACACAGTGCACAGTTACAGCCACAACAGACCACTGGAACATTATCTGACATAGTGCACAGTTACAGCCACAACAGACCACTGGAACATTATCTAGCACAGTGTACAGTTACAAACCCATTAAGATTTCCACTTAGATTCAACAGAGCAGAAAAAGTTGTTAAACATATGGGACAAAATGTTACTGAAGCAACCATTCGAGTCATAAATATTCATACTCCGCCCAAGTAAAACAGAAACAAGCAACACTTAGTGGGCCAGCCAGAGGTTTAGGGCCCGCGCAGGAATATCCCTGCAAAAAAAAAAAGAACAGAAGTGAGTCATGAACACCAATGTTACTGGCACGTGTTAACTCTCTCATACAGTTAACACGAGGGTGGGAGACTTGGGCGGATGTGTCAGACGCAGGAAATGGCAAGAGGAGAACACAATTGTGGCTGAAGAGATCAGAGACACGTGGTGTGAAGGTAGACGGAACTGAGGTGGTCGTATATGTTTGTATAGAGCCGATGAGGTAAAGGAAGATAATGCTTCAGTAGATGAAGCGGTAGAGTTGGTGACGGGCTGTTACAGTAGATGAAGCAGGGGGAGGGAACAGGATATGACAATAGATGAAGAAGGGGTGGTGGTGACAGTCCACGAAGCGGGCAGGTGACAGTAGATGACGCGGGTGAAGGTGACGGGATGTGGCTGGAGCAGCACCTTGCCCTGTACCACTACGGTTGGCCAGAGGTTACACTGGCTCAGGGTTGGAAAACCTCTCGTATTGCTTATCCTATATTTTTCTCGGTCAGCTTATGACTGCTGCCTCAAACCTGAGTCACAAGTGACCTTTCCTTATGTGTTCTGGATTAACATCTTGTTCAGTATTTTTATAAATTTTTGTTCATAAACATTCTACATTTATAATTGTTACATATAATATATAACACAATTTTTTAAATGGGTAACATATATTGACAGGAATATATCATATAATACGAGGGACAAGAATGTACTTGGTAATATACATCACTTTACTTGGAGAAAGATTAACTCGAAACTACATGTAAAGGAGAACTTGTGTTGAAATGTTGTGAATAATGAAATCAGTTTTGTCATCCGCGGGTTGAAGACCAGCCTGGATGACATCAGTTATCTCATCCGCAGGTTGAGGACCGGCCTGGATGACATCAGTTATTTCATCCACAGGTTGAGGGCCGGCCTGGATGACATCAGTTATCTCATCCGCAGGTTGAGGGCCGGCCTGGATGACATCCGTTCTGTCATCCGCAGGTTGAGGGCCGGCCTGGATGACATCCGTTCTGTCATCCGCGGGTTGAGGGCCGGCCTGGATGACATCCGTTCTGTCATCCGCAGGTTGAGGACCGGCCTGGATGACATCAGTTATCTCATCCGCGGGTTGAAGACCAGCCTGGATGACATCAGTTATCTCATCCGCAGGTTGAGGACCGGCCTGGATGACATCAGTTATCTCATCCGCAGGTTGAGGGCCGGCCTGGATGACATCCGTTCTGTCATCCGCGGGTTGAGGGCCGGCCTGGATGACATCAGCTCTGTCATCCACAGGTTGAGGGCCGGCCTGGATGACATCAGCTCTGTCATCCACAGGTTGAGGGCCGGCCTGGATGACATCAGCTCTGTCATCCACAGGTTGAGAGCCGCCCTGCATAAAACAATCTGAAATTTCACATTATATACCGGGAAGTTTTCTCGGCCAGATTTAGAGTACTTGTCAGCAAGTCGTCTCCCCGGGACAGTAATTCTCTGATAATATGAAATAACATTCAGAAAGTGGCACTACTGCTGTCCTTACATGCTAGTTGCTTGATTTTATCATATAAGCTTATTGACTGCATAGGTGATTTCATAATGAGAAAAGGAGATAATTCGCCGGTGAATTACTTCTTTGGGAGTGAATGTGGACACCATGCTGTGCAACAAGAAGCAATGTACTCACCTAGTTGTGCTTGCGGGGGGTTGAGCTTTGTCTCTTTGGTCCCGCCTCTCAACCGTTAATCAATTGGTGTACAGATTCCTGAGCCTACTGGGCTCTGTCATATCTACATTTAAAACTGAGTATGGAGTCAGCATCCACCTCATTACTTCCTAGTGCATTCCATCTGTTAAGTACTCTGACACTGAAAAAATTCTTTCTAACGTCTCTGTGGCTCATCTGTGTACTAAGTTTTCTCCCTGTGTCCCCTTGTTCGTGTCCCACCCGTGCTGAAGAGTTTGACTTTGTCCACCCTGTCAATTCCTCTGAGAATTTTGTAGGTGGTTATCGTGTCTTCCCTTACTCTTCTGTTTTCCAGGGACGTGAGGTTCAGCTCCTTTAGCCTTTCCTCATAGCTCATACCTCTCCGTTCCGGGACGAGCCTGGTGGCATACCGCTGAATCCTCTCTAACTTTGTTTTGTGTTTAACTAGGTATGGACTCTAGAATAGAGTTGCATATTTCAGGATTTGGCTGACGTAAGTGGTATACAGGGTCCTGAACGATTCCTTACACAAGTTTCTTAAAGCAGTTCTTATGTTGGCTAACCTAGCATATGCCGCTGATGATATTCTTTTGATGTGGGCCTCTGGGGACAAGTTCGGTGTGATATCAACCCCCAGATCTTTCTCTCTATTTGACTCTTGCAGGATTTCACCTCCCAGATGGTACCTTGTGTTCAGCGTTCTGCTCACCTTCGCCTAATTTCATTACTTTACACTTTCCTGAATTGATCTTTAGCAGCCATTTTCTAGACCATTTCTCCAGTTTGTCCAGGTCATCCTGTAGTCTCTCTCTATCTTCATCTGTCTTGATTCGATTATGCAGTTCAGTTTTGGTTGCCGTGCTATAGAATGGATATAAATTCACTTGAACGTGTCCAGCGTAGGATGACAAAGTTAATTCCCCAAATTAGAAACCTGTCATATGAAGAGAGATTAACAAAGCTTAAACTGCATTCACTGGAAAGTCGAAAATTTAGGGGCGACATGATAAAAGTTTACAAGTGGATGAATGACATAACAAGGGGGGATATTAATAGGGTATTAAAAGTATCAACACAAAACAGAACACGAAACACTGGGTATAAATTGCATAAGTTTAGATTTAGAAAAGACTTGGGCAAATACTAGTTCGGTAACAGGGTTGTCGATTTGTGCAACCAATTACCGCGTAACGTGGTGGAGGTGGGGTCCCTCGATTGTTTCGAAAGTGGGTTGAACATGCATATGAGTGAGATTGGGTTTTTATAAATAGGAGCCACCTCGTATGGCCCAATAGGCGTTCTGCAGTTACCTTTGTTCTTATGTTCTTATGTCATCACCTGGAGCATTGCTACTGCTGGATGATCCTGGAAAGAAAACGGGGTCTCATCACTTTTGTAAATAAAAACATTCCTGCACAGATTATTGATGACCTCCACATGGGGGATGAGTATGAATCACAGAGGGTAACCCTTCACCTAAACATAATATAATATACCTATATGTGCCGCAGAGTAAACTTGACCTTGACACACTACCTGAATTTGTTAATGAAGAACCTACCCTGCTGGTCGGTGACCTTAATGCCAGACACCCACACTTTGGTGCCAACTGTCATCAGCCCAATGTCAATGGACGGAAACTGTCACTCTATGTCAGGGGAAGTGGAAACCTTAGAGTCCTGGGTGATGAACAGCCAACATTCCTCAGAGGAGGAAGATTGGACTATGCTCTCCTGCTGAATGCACAGGACCCGGATGCCAGTACACACATTGAACACAGTTTAAGTAGTGACCACTGGGCACTGATTACCACCATCGACATGAACAAGAGAAGGAAAGAAACAAATAAAAGAAAAGGTTATCACTCGGACCAGGTATGAGGCCGCGCTTCATAAACAGGATGAGTGACTGGTTCACAGAATATCAAATCCCAGTAGACATTGATAAATTTGTTGATCTTAATAACCAAATTGAGAGCTGGAGTGGGTTCATGGAATTTTTCTACTTTTTTTTTGTGGTTATATATATATATATATATATATATATATATATATATATATATATATATATATATATATATATATATATATATATATATATATATATATATATATATATATATATATATATATATATATATATATATATATATATATATATATATATATATATATATATATATATATATATATATATATATATATATATATATATATATATATATATATATATATATATATATTCAATAGATATATATATATATATATATATATATATATATATATATATATATATATATATATATATATATATATATATATATATATATATATATATATATATATATATATATATATATATATATATATATATATATATATATATATATATATATATATATATATATATATATATATATATATATATATATATATATATATATATATATATATATATATATATATATATATATATATATATATATATATATATATATATATATATATATATATATATAATTTCATGGCATTTTCAATCCGTACGCATTCATTTTTCTTAATACCACACACATGCTTTTTAAATAATAAATTGCTACTTCTTTATCTCTTGATTTTTCACATTAATATTATACAATATCTCGCAACCTTCCAAAAAAGTGGACACTGCCACTGCTCCATGAGGCGTCGTGGCCGCATTCTAATAATATCATATTGTTTTTTGTTGCTAACCATGACTGTCATTACACCAGATACTTTCCATCCCTGACTGACTAACCTCTTCTCCGACTGCTCGTTTAGCCATCACACATTCCAGTATTTCAAGTGAGGGACCTCTTCTGGTACTTTACCATTCATATTTACCTCACATAATTTCTCTACTGTTATAACTACGTTTTTCCACACTCTCTGTTGTTTTTTTCTCTCGCAAATGAATTTTTTAACTAATTAATGTATCTCATTTTTTTTCTGCTAAAAGAGCTGCATCATGAGCATGCTCAAGTGTGACATGCTCCAGTTACTCATATTAGGATTATGCACGTGGTTTATTTTCCTGTCTATGATTGTTATCTTTATCTCCTTAGTGACCTCATCAATGTACATGTATCTAATAGCCAAGGCGATATTACACAACCCAAACGAACGTCTGTTATTATCAAACCAATTACTTGTTAATCTATAATTTATTTCACGTTAAATTATAAATAATATTCTCAATGCATTTAACAAGACTCCACCAACTGTTGCATGTCCATCATTCTCTAAAGTCCTTACTTAACATTGTCATATGATTTGTCCATTATAAAAGCTATGTATATCTTCCTATCATATATACTGTTTTATTCCAAATTTCTGGATCTCCACACACTCTACCGTCTCAGAATCCATCTTGTTCATCACTGAATACTTATTCATTCAAATATTCTTTTAAATTAAATCTGAATAGAATGTTGCCTTTTATGTCTCACCCAGATTTAATTTAAAAATAAAACCAAACAAAATAAATTAGAAAGGGTATGTATAGCTAAGGTACACCTAGCTATACTTATTACTAGGAGAACAGGGGCATTTGGTGATAGTAAATGATCCCACCAGCCTGTGATCATCACCTTCTCTCATATTTCATGTTCACCAGTGTTTATTTACTTAATAACTACTGGTATATCTTGCTATTATAAAACTAATTCTACTATTTTACGAGATAGGAGTAGAGCTGTTTGTAGATAATTTGTTCAAATTTTTTGATAGTATGGGTACGTTTGATATTGGTCTATAATTGTTTATGTCTGCCGTATTGCCTCCTTTATGAACTGGAGTTACTCTTGCTGTTTTAAAAATATCAGGGAAGGTATGTCAATCTAAAGATTTGTTGAACAGCAGATCTATGGGTGGCGCAAGGGCATGAGAGGCGCGTTTGCATACAATGGATGGGATTTCACTAATGTTCCCAGCTTTGGTTTCTAATGAGTGTATGATGGACACAACATCTGTCGGGCTTATTGGTGAAAGGAAAAGAGAGTTTGGATAGCTTGGATAGCTGCCTGAGAGATATGTGTTAATGTGTGTCCGAGTCTGTGGAATTTTACTGGCATGGTTAGCACCAACCGATGAAAAGAAGCTATTAAATTAATTTGCCATTTCTAAGTCAGTTGCAGGTGTATAGCCATCCTTAGAGAATTTTATCTGGTTATATGTGTGTTGTTTAGTTCCCAGGATATTAGAGATGGTTTTCCATGTGCTTTTCATGTTGCCTTTCGCTTCTTTTAATCTATTCTCATATTAGGAGAGTTCTGACTTTCTAATGATACTGGTAAGCACTGATGAGTACCTTTTAACTACTTCCTGTGTAACTAGGCCAATCCTAAGTTTCTTTTCATATTCATGTTTCTTGTTCATTGATTTTAATATGCCACTTGTGAGCCACGGATTGTTTAATCTTTTGTCTGTTACTTGCTTGGTAAGGAGGGGACAATGAGTGTTGTAGCGGCTTTGAGTTTTGGAGAGGAAGAGGTTAGCTAATGAATATATATCCTATGTATTATGAATTATTGTGAATTGAGATGAATATAGATGAGAGAGTAAATAGAAGAATTCTTACCTTATTCTTATATTCGTCCTATGCTTACCTGCTCCTCACCCCCTCATCTCACACTCTTACCTTATATTTGCCTGTACCTACCTTTCTTCTATCTTATGGGCTATTCGTGATCGTGCTACCTCTTGGGTGGCTTAATCTTCATCGATCAAACAATCAGCTTCTATCCACGACTTATTAATGGTCCAGGACGGACCGAAGCGTCGTTTCTCCATCTTCTGAGTTGTGGTTTGGTCATCAAGTAACCTTTTGACTAAAATGTCATCCATACTTCCGTGGAAATAAACATTTCATTCAATAGATAGAGCCTCTGACACGTGGGGCTCCGTGATTCGAGTCTCCTAGAGCCCAGGCGAAT